CGGTGCGCTTCTTTAATCGCTCTCTCTTCCCGTACTACAATATCCAGTAAGTTTGGATTGCTAGTGGTGCTGGTCGATGTTGCTCAGTTTTCAGGCAAAATTCAGTTTTTAATTCGCTGTCTCTAGCTACAGAGTTGTCGTTGCTTCTTTCCTTGTCCAACTTTGATTTAGGTACCGCAGTTATCCAGTGAGTTCGTGTTGCTGAGGGCACTGGTCGATGCTGTCCAAGTTCCAGGCAAAAATACTGCTTTTAATTCTCTCTTTAGCTGCGGAGTTGCAGATAGAGTTGTGGTTGCTTCTTCGTTTGTCTAACTTTGATTTAGGCTGCTTTCTTATCAAGCATTCAAGCTGTCAGATTTGCGTGGCGCCAGCGCTTACGTTCGTGCTCAAATTTCCCTTCAGCGGATGGATGCTAGTTCGTTTCGCGGTATTTTTTTGAAGCTTTCGTTCGGTTTTTCTTTTTTTATAGCACTTGGCCATGTGTTTGTTGAGAGCGTCGCCTTTTTTTGCAGACCACATGATTTTGTCGCCAAAAGTCTGTTTGTGGACACTCATCACAATGCGGTCTTTTGATTTTGTGAGTATTGCCTTTTCTCTGACTGCTTTTTTGTTGATTTTGGTGGTGTGCCGAATTTTTTGTCGTTTTTTCGCTTCGTCGGCATTCCACTATTTTTGAAAATCAGTCGGCTGTTGGATGCCGAATTTTTTGTCTGTTTTTTCTAAATTTTTTCCATGCGTTTCGTGCGATTTACTTGCGTTTCAGCTTCTTTTTGCACTGCGATATGCGACGTGCCGCGCATGCGCATACCTATAAAAATGTTTTAAATTTTCTGCGTTTTCGATGCGCAGTTCCAGTTTTTTGGAAAAACATTTTGGATTATACTTTCAGTGCTATTTTGCTAATAAACTTTTTTTTTTTATTATTTGTACCACACGCATTACATATACACATCGTCATCATCATCATCATCGTAGTCATTATCATCATGTAGCAAATTAACGGTGTCAGTGGTGCGAAGGCGTTTGTGATTGACATTTCTGGATGCTATTTAGCTTACATGGAACGGGCTACAATGTGTATGAACATCCTGAACCGCATTGGCGGTAATAGCTCACGTGAATATCGTGAAGGACATCTGGGTACGTTCGGATCAAGGGCAGTAGAAGTGGTACTCAGATTGAAAAGGATCTCACGCTGAGCCAGGGAATGTTTCTGTTATGTCTTCCGAATTAACGTCGGATTGACTGACTTCGGTGTACACTGTTTGTACAACTTGCTTTTTGTACGGTGGACGCAGACCATTGTCATCAAGTTGGGACGGATACAAGAGCTTACGGTATGGGAATTACTCGCATCGGCATACGTTTTTGTCCCTCGCTCCCCTCCCATTTTGGAAGGAAGAAATGTAAGGGAGTACTCAGTGCAACTCAAAAGATCTGGGTCCAGACCGTCCGCTGGGAGCTGAAAATTCCAATAGACTGATCGCAGCTTCCCAAAACTGTGAAATTTTTTGGTTGCGGTGCGAGGACTGGTCCGCAGACTGGCTATTTATATAGACAGTTGCTGACGGCCGGAATGTGATCGGCGTTTGATGTAAATACAGACGGCTCGTTAATTTAAAAAGAATAAAGATTTCAAAAAAAAGGTAATTTGCAAATCCCAGTATGAGACAGTGAGTATCACTCACAGTTTGAACAGTATCACAGATCACTCATAATCGTATATAGTGGCTCTTGCGCGACGACCTCTCGGTTCGTCCTTTTTTCTGTGCCTTTCAGGTACGACCTTTTTTAAAACTTTTAAAAAAATACCTTTTTAAAATTTTTTTCTTCCTCCTTCCTTTCCTCCTCTCTCCACCCCACTGCTGCTCCATTTAATCCCACTATTAAATCGTTTTCCCTTTTGCGTCTCTGCGACGCCTTTTTTTTTCCTTTTCCACTAAGCACTGTGGCCACCATACTGACGAGGTCCCGTACCGGTGTCGGGTTAAGGCGTATATGACTTAATCGAAACGTCTTATCTCAGTCTTATCTTCTCCCATACTGTTCTCTGTTGTAATTTGCCGTGCTTCCGCCATTTATGGTCCCAGGTTCAACCTCGTTGCTACAGTAGACTTAAAAAATACTTTTATCAAAGTCACACAATAACTACAAAAACAAATAGATTTCATCGAAACAGAGCTGTCACATTAAAACAAAGTTTCTCATATTTCTTAGCATTTGCAGAGCCTGTGATCCTTTTTTTAATACTGGAAATTTCGCCGTGAGAAACTCTTCCAACAACAGAAGTTTAGCTATCTTTTAGCAATAAGTATTACACCTTCTGCAGCTTCTTTTAGTCGTTTACAAGAAGGGAACACTAAAAAGCTATCGTTTCAACGCCGTGTTTCTTATATTCATCTGAGAGGATTTCCCACATGCTCAGAAAGAATTACTCTTCGAACACATTCTAATTTCTCAAGATAAAAACGGAGTAAGCTTAAGGCAGGGAACCGTAACCGTTCGTCTGATAAAGCAAAAAAAAAATGGTCAGCTTTGACAAAAACTCATTAAAATCCAGAATGAGAAACAACATGACGGCCAGGAAACAGGGCTGCCAAAATAAATGGATTTTTGATTCAACAGCTTTTACTATATCTAAATCAAAGTAACAAATATCAGTTAATGGACGATTGACAAACAAAGGCAAAGCAATTAGGCATTCATTCTGGACATAAGAAGAAATGAATCTCAGGAATCTGCCCCTCGTAAAAAGACGGATTCTCGCAACCAAAGTAGTCTTTGTAGCTTTTGAAATGGAAACGCACTCTCTCATTGTATCGTAATGCTACAGTCGCTGTTTTTACTCCATCTTTGCCTCCAAACGTTCGCGTTTGTGCACCCAACTGAAACAATCAGTTTTTCAGCGATAAAAAAAAAATCACAGAAAGCGATTTGCGATAATATGCATAAAAGTGTCCAAAAATTTTTGCGAAGAATCGCAAAGGAAAAAAAAGTAAAGGAAGTGCCTGCTGGCACTTGCACATTGCGATAAGAGCTGAAATTGGAAACTGTGGGAGGCCCCACAAAAGAACTTACTAAGTTAATGCTAGCCAAATAATAATTGTTCGCCTGAATGCGCACTGGCTTGCTGAAACTGGCCACAACGGGTTTATCGTTACCGACTATTCCACGAATCATGGCAATTTCTGTAGCGATACAAGAGGCAGGGGCCAGGTAGCTAGCAGGCTGAACATATGATAACTGAAACAACAAGCATATCAAAACACTGCGGACTTTTTTTAAAGA